CTAATTACTAATATACATAGAGGCATGAACGAATCACAGACCAGGACATACACGCCAACGCGCCCATAAAATATCAAGAGTTAGCCGGTACCGTATACTGTAGCAGCAGTTTGAAGGCTATTTATGCTCCTACTTTCGAAAAGAACTCTGTGTATTGGTTAGCAGCCATAAAATTTAGAGAAATAATTGACATTTTGTACACATCATCGTCTGACCTTCTGTGTGTGCATGTCATCACTTAGCACGAAATTTTTATTCCAAAGAAATTGACAAAATTAAGATTGCTCTAAATTTTTCCTAAGAATGTCACCATTACTGGAATATATATAATGGTGTTTACGAGAGGTCTGGCAACGTATGTGGTTTAGTAGTTACCGTGTTAAAAAGACCTAGAAACATTCCTAGTTACGGCAAAAGTTTCAAACTTTATTAGCTGCTGGTTAGAGTAAAGACACGGCCGTTCAAGGACGCTGCGAATCTAGTAAAATACGCTCGAAACAAGTAAATGCATGCGTTGACAACTCGTTACGAACTTTTTGTGCAGACCATGTAAATATCATATGTAGCGGGACAACTGCCCCTGTGGGAACTAGTAGTGTGCCTGTATTGCATGAGACAAATCACCAAGCTACTACCCTCAACCATTGTAACGTGTTTAGTGTAGTTTTGCAGTTCTTATGCATCCGATGACATCAGCTTTATGTTGTTGCAATCATTCTTAGCTCGATATAGCTACCAAGATATGCCTTTCCTACGTTGAGGAATTGTACGAATGGAATTGACCTGCCTGACCACTCCTGGAGTGGGAATGGTCAAAGTTTTTTGTTTTCATTTCGAGGAATTGAATGGAATTACGGCAAGTTGCACTTCCCCGGAATATATTTCGAATGGAATGGAAGTGCCCATTCCGCAACACTGCTGTGAACGAAACCACGTGCATTACGCAGCCCTAAATTTTAGTGTTTAAATCTCTGAGTACTGTACGTAGGTTTGAACCATCTGCTTATTCCTACAAAGATAGGACACGCGTGATCGCACACGGCTGATCAAAGTGCGAACACTGCCAGAGGTCACATAGCCCCCCCCCCCCCCCCCCCTGCTCCCACTTCCGGGTCCCCCATGCACCATCAACACCACGGAAACGGAGCGACTAAAAAGCCACCAAAACACGCCCAAATTGCTAGACCTCTTTTTCTTGGTGTCCCTAGAAAATTCCAAGTGAGATGTGCCTAGCCCCTAGTCACGTGGCTCTATGCTAGTACCAGCACTCTGCGCATTTCACAGTCGCTTTCAAAGCGGTGTGGCCAAAGTTAAGTTAGATTACGTTACCCGTAACGTTCGTAACCTTGGGTTTGACCCACAGTGCCACGCAAAGCTGAACTTCATGGCCGAACAAGTGTGTAAAGGTTCACACTTGCCGTTTATTTTAGAAAGGTGTTCACTTTCTGTTGACTAACGCGCAGTTACAAAGGTAGCAGCTGCAGTTTAATGTTACGTAAGCATACCCGTGATTTCCATCTTCTGCTCATTTTTTGGCCTCGTCTTATAGTTTTAGCAGAGCCAGGTCACTTGGCACAAGTATATTCCGCAATATTTAGTGAAAATTATTACTGTTTCTCTTTCTGATCTGATAATTCTTAATACTGCAATTGTGCTCCGCCACTATGCGAATCAGCACAACGGCGAAGCCGACTTGTATTGCCTTATGTGTAAAACGGCAAATGTACTTTTACACGTTTTTACGCGGAAAGGTCGTTGCATGAACGTCAATTTCGGATGTTGGATACATTGTTTGGACGTTTAATTTTGAGAAAAAATGCGCTAACACAATTAAATTACATATCGAAGTATTTGTTTACCTGGAACATTCTGAACAAAAATGATGTTAACATTCAAACTTTGGTTTCACAGCAAAACATTGTTTGCAGAACTTACACATGACATTATGATAACCTTGCGCTGGATTAGAAATAAAACCATGATATATTGTCACAAATAATCCAGCAGGGTAATCTTGTCAATTTTTATTACAGAACAATATGAAACAGCACAAATGGCAAACAAAAATATACGTTAGATATGAAAGCACAATAGCAATGCTTCAAAAACAATATGCAAAACAGAATGGCCAAACAACGAGCTGGATTTGTTGGTCATGATTAATTTTGAAATAATTTGTAGAGAGCAAAATAAGGAATGGAGAACAAAAGCACATGGCACTGCCCGCATGTGCATTTTTTTTAATTTTCTGTCTCATTTTTTGTGCTCCACAAATCATTTAAAAAATGAACAAAATACCAAATCTCATAATATGTATGTTCTGGAATTCTAGCTTTCACTCAATGAATGTTGCAGCATAAAAATTTACGCTAGCACATTATTGCAAGGCAAAAACTTATAGAAAATAGAAAGTAAGCGCACTGAAATTGATAGTAGTGAAACATAGGCTGTCCCTTTTGTAATGTTAGTTAAACTTCAGAAACAGCCACAAGCTTTACTGAGCGAACAGTCGATGTAAAACCCACAAATTGTGACTGACTAGGAAGATGACTGAAGATCTCTAACGAGCACCTCAAATGACAGTGTTGATTAAATATTATAGTAGTAGGACAAAGCCTGCAAAAAAAAGCAGATTTGGAGACCTTTCTTGATTCTTCTTTTTTCCTTCTCCTTTCTCTGCATTTCTTCTACCTCCTTTTTGGATCCTTCAAATTTGTTTTTTTCTTATTTTCATTTTTTCTATTTTTACCCTTTTCTTTGTTCCTTTCTCTTATTTTTTTCTCTATCTGTCTTGCTCTGTTTTTAACTCTTTCTTGGGACTATCTTTATCTGTTTCTCTCTCTACGTATCTTCATTCCCTTTATTTCTCTCTGTTTGTCCTTTTCGTCTCATCGCTTCTCTGTATTTTTTTCAATGAAGTGCAATTGCTGATGTGCCACATTTATCATGCTCACTCACATAAAAGGAAAACTATTTTACATGGTATATATAGCTTCATCATGTCTATTCTGCATGATTGAGGCCTATGACCATGAGCAGCACAAAGAGATCTTCAGTTGCATGTCGGCTATGAAAAGTTTCCACAGGCAGACAACCGGAAAACATCCAGACCTCAAAGACCAGCTTGCCGACTAGCTTAAACTACTCTGTACATATCCAGCACATCTAGGTAATAGCCCCGGAATATGCACACAATCGAGATGTATCAAGAAAAATGGATCATGTAAGAAAATTCACTGCCAGAAGAACAACTTTTACATTCACGAGAGCTAATTGTACTTGTGCCTTTTTTTTTCTCATCATCAACATGCACGTGTGAACAGCTGGTATCTTTATATACGAGCACATTTTTATTAGAACCTGCTATAACTGAGTGCGTGTTAGATTCAAGTAAATAAGTTTGATTCTTCTGTGTGCGCCTATGTCAGTACCACATAAGCATAGAATGTAGGTTTGGTAAGAAAGTACTGTATATAATTAGGCTTTTAATACAGTTCTAAAAGAACTTATCGGGGGACATAAATCCAAAGTTACACTAGGCACATTTGTGAAACATGTGCTTAAGGCACACAGAGCTTCGAGGTGGTGCTACAACAGTGCGAAATCGGAATCGCTTTGGAGATCTCCCATATAAAAGTTAAATTTCTCGTATGTAACTATAACAAGCACTCACTTCAAAATCCTGAACGCAGTGCTAAAAAAATTTGCTTCACCGCATAGCAGTTGCCCGATGCGGCACGGCTGAACCCCACAAGCGACGGGCACTAAGCATAGTTTATTACAAAACGAGCGCAAGTGTCATCCTCATCTAGTCACAGACGTGCACCGAGGTATCTGATTAACAGCCTTTCAGATCAAACATTTCTGACATTGCTCCACTTAATCTATTTACAGGAAGTAAAGTAACAGTTCGTAAACGCGATAACACTTTGCACCAGTTAATGGCAGATGTCGCTTTATTTCTTCGATCTACCACGCAAACGCTAGCAAAAGCACGCTTGATTTGACAATTGCGACGAGGGCTTTTCGGAATATTAAACACAACTTAAACAGAGCACGGTATTGAGTGGTCTAAAGGTTGAACGCACAGGAAACGTGCTACTACACGACTACGAGTTGCTCAAAAAATATGCTTTGAACTCCAGAGCTCACCACTACAGTTAACGTTAAAACACACACACACACACACACACACACACACACACGCACACACACACACAAATACAATAGACTACCAATCAATCACTCACAACAGTTAACTAATGGGCAACACGATTCAATCGAACCAGCCGTGACTGTAGAAGTTTGGGCTGCTGATTCATCAACACTCGCGAAGTAACACACCACACACACATAAAATAAACACAACGGGCTTGATTGCTTGCTTGTTCCTTCATTTATGGCTCCTACGGGGGATCGGGTATCGAGTGTTCTGTCGACAAAACCACCTTCTTCACCTACTCACATAACTCGCAGCACTTGAATCAACGAACACCGCCAAGAAAAACTACAACCACAGAACGCCAGTCCACCACCTCGTAGCACTTGAACTAGGCAATTCCTAGGTACTCCAAGGCGCTAGTTTTGCTTGGTAGCACCGGGTATCTATCATGAATAGTTCTCGTACTGCCAAAATTGGCGATTTTTGGTGGCTTTTTAGTCTCGTGCCCATGGAAACGGCCGGTGCTACTAATTTCCGCTTGAGCCGCGATCGTCGGCTTCGATTACACGATTTCACTTACGCATGGAACATACGACGCGCGTGGGGATGTTATCAGCCTTAGACATTACACGAAACCACATGGCGGCGACCAAAACGCGCCTGGAATATCCACATATTGATGTCACAAAAAAAGATAGATACATTATTTCAATTTTTTTGCTCTGTCTTGATTTAGTCATGTTTTGTGTTTCTCGTTTTTTTACTTAGCAAACGCGGACTTTTTTAACAAGCAATTATATAGGCGTTGGTAAAAACCATCGATAGTTTGGCAACTTACCTCACGGAGTATCTCTTGCAAAATGTTGTATGCGTCGTCTGTCAATGATCGGGGAAATCTCAGAGGAGCTGCCAGCGCCACTGCAAATGAACCCGAATAAACATATTAGTATATGTCTTCTTCGTACGACTTTTCAAACCTTAATGGTTACATGACTTCACCTTGATGGATCAAGTGCATCATGGGGGCTTTGGGTATCATACGAGGGATAAGTAAAGCCTGCGTAAGCAGCAGGGTTTGCGTTAGGTACTCGATGTATAAACTACTTCAGAGAGCACAGGTGGAAACAGAACATGTACAAAATGTACGAGACATATGCCTGTTTGTGTGCTTTGTTGAGTTACGTCACGTTTACTTACCACACACAGTTTTACTGTAAGTGGTTGGGACAGGGGAAAAAAGCTGCACGAAAACAGCTTGACAATGCCCCACGTCCCAGATTCACTGTGGCAAGGAGAACGGCAAAAGCAAGTAAATTTAAGCACAATGCAAACTGACAATGCATAAGTTATAGATTGAAACATATTTCTACAAAAACAAATTATTACTATGGACATATTTAGCAAAACATAATTAAAATAGAATAATTAGAGAGAGGGCGTACATTTTCGCACGTAATGTTAAAACGATTTACAATATTTGGCAAACAGTAACATAGTGCCTCAAAACCATAGTTAGTGCGTGGCCTCAGAATATACCAATGTTCAGAGGGTAAGTTTGCTCAACGACTCCCCAACCACTTACTAGAATAGCGAAGCTCCCTCCTCGTTCCCTGGATGTTGAGGTTCTGCTCGGCGGCGTACTGAGATAGAGGTGTTTTGCCGATGAGCATGGTGTAGAGGACGATGCCGTAAGACCACCAGTCAGCAGCCACACCTTTGAAACGCAATATAAAGAGCGGGCTCAACAGCGATTCTCAACTAAACGTATTGCTTCACACGTTGACATTTTCTCGCTCTAGAGCTCTAACGGAGAGCTCTGCAATCAGATCTCGAGTATCAGCTGCAGCACATGGGCACCCGACAATGTTTTCCAAGAGCTACGCTTTGCGAACGGCACTGGGAGCACAGCCAGAATATTCTCTTTTTTTTTTTAGTGGGGGGGGGGGGGGGTAACCATACTTTCTGTTTGTACGTTCGCGAATTTCTTTGCGTGCGCATACCTAGCAGGTGCACATACTTGTGCACTCAACCACACTCATGCACAATCAGAAAATTGCGGAAGAAGGGGTGAACCCCCCCCCCCCCGCCCTAATCTCAGGCTACGACAGCGGGCCCCACCCATGCAAAAGTGGCGCTCATTGCCATGACTTGCATAAGGCTTACGGCGTCGGTCGCGGAACACTTGCAGAATGTGTCGATAGATGAAAACAAAGAAAAAAATGTCCGATGGAGCCCATGATGGGCTTTACGCGACAAACTTTAAAACATGCGACTCATTTATGAGGGAAGCTTGGTGGCTAAACTGACACTTGACGTTTCATTTGCAACAACAAACAAAATTCAGCGTACAGTTTCAGTGCTCCAAAACTAACTACGTAGCAATGGTGATCTGAAGTCTAATCTAACGTTACAGGTTTATTCCAGGCTGCGCACGTTAAGGGAGCCTAGTTGGTCAAGGTTAACCCGCAGGTTATCCCGCACTTCGAGGTTATCCACAGTTCTTGTGCGCTTTTTCCCCGTGGATAGTTGTACAACTTTCAGGACATTCTCATTTCCCAACCACAATAAAGGCTTGCAGTCGAATAGCATATGTGAGTGAATTACACGCACCGTAGTGTTCTCGACGGAGGACTTCCGGTGCCATGTAGGCGAGTGATCCACAGCGATTCCTGGCCTCCAGCGACAGCTGATGAAAAAAATTAATAACAGTGCACAAGCAACAAAAGCTGAAAAAAAATGAAGCACTCTTAAGCTTCGCCTTTAAGAGTTGAACGCGATAGTGAAATCCGGCCCCTAGTGCATCCTTCAACCACTAAGTGCATATAGTTATTCACATATTTTGTTACATACACACACACGCACACAAACACGCACACAAACACGCACACAGTAAATTGGACCTGCGCGCGCTATTATCGTCGAATGGGCTAGTTTTCGTCGTTATACCAGTCGAACAAAATGCGTTAAAGGGGCCCTGAAACACTTATTCAAGAAACCATGAAATGAATTCACTAGAATAGCTTATTGTCTCACGAATTCAACGCCGCAAAAATTTTAAGAACCCGTCCAGTGCGAGTGGAGTTACAAAGGTTTGTCGCATGCTGCAATCGCATCATCTCTTCTCTCGTCCCAGCGAAAGCACTGGAAGCTAAGCAAGAGGGTGGCAGGGCAATGAAACTACCGTGCCTCGTGACCGTGAGCACTTTTTTTTTCTTCGAATGCGCGGCTTTTTCAGCGTGATCGTGCACGCACGCATGGACAAATAACGGCCTCCCGCGGCTATCTCGGAAACTTTATTTTTGGGTCACAGACGCATGGACGGTTTTTCGCTTACAACCAACGGGGCCGACGCCGGCGATGGGTTTTCTGCGACACGAGCTCTTTAACGCTATCGCGTTAAACCAACCACACCAACTGCGTATATATGACAATGAGCCTAATGATAATATAAAAGCTTTTTGCCATTGAGGAACAGAAGTAATGACAATACCCACTTTTTTCACCCACATATACATTAAAACTCATTCTTAGTAGCACTTACCAACATTTTTAAGCCACTGGTACACACGATTTAAGATCTTTAGGCGACTTTTCACAATTAGGTTTCCCATTCAACTGATGCCACATATTATCAGACTATGAAGATTATTAATATGTAGCACCATCTAAAGATAATCATGTACGACAAGGCATGTAAACACAAAATAAAGATAAGAATGCAACACAAACGCACACTTTGGCTTTAATGGTGACTCTCTGCCAGCTAGTTAAGCTTTCTGTCTTTCTAACCTGAAGATAATGTTCACATTCAGGACAAATGGCAGCTACGTGCTCTGCTCCGGGCATATCAAGAGCCCTGGGCTTGAAAACGACGCCATGTTGGCTGCGATGTGAAGCAAATAGTAACAAAAGAAAGATGGGGCTCAATACGATTCACACGATCCGGATGCGGAATGAGCCAGAAACGTCAAGCGAGAGCCGCGCAACTTTGACAAGCTGCATATTTGTGAACAAACGTGCGTATAGCGCCAGCAAAAATAGATGCCCCGCTGTGTCTCATAGTGCGTCATTTACGAACTTTTCACCAGAGGCATCTCATCGCATACACGCCGAGGGTGGCAGAAGAGCTGAAGGTGGTACGGGCGAATGCTTTGTGAAAAGGTCGATTTGGCTGGGTCGCCTCACCTGGCAGAGGCCGAAGTCAATAAGGCGAGCATTGCCGCGCTCATCGAGAAGCACATTGGACGAACTTATGTCGCGGTGCAGGTATCCTGTCAAATAAGACACGATAAGAAAAAGAGAAGGGATTAAGCCAGCATCATACGTCGACACTGCAAGTATACGCGGCACGTTACCTGGGCGTACAGCATGCGTGGAACAGTGGCATGCAACGACATACCATACAACTTAAAGGTCCGACCCTGTTCAGTTGTACTCGACAATATACGACAATATACGAATCAGAAGTGACGTGAGGACCGCCCGATTTTTATCGTCCCTACAGAGCAAGGCAAATATTTCGACAGCATTACTAGCGTAAAGTGTCCCGCCATACGCGTGTCTTATTCGCCTGATACTGATTTCGTGTATTACGAGACAGTTGCGTGATGCGGAACGTCATCCACACGCGCGCAATGGACACGCAACTCACCAGCTTCGTGGACGAAGTTGAGCGCGTGGGCCAGCTGGGCCGCCACCACCTTGGCCCGATTTTCTGGCAAGGGTCCCGACCGTCGAATGATTTGGCTTAGGGTACCTCGAGACACGTACTCCATGACAAAGCACCATCTGAATGTGTGCGCAGTTTCAGCGTGGAAAGCATACACGCCCCACAGAGATATAGCACAAACTCTACACAAAGCACCATCACTCGTTGCTCACTAGCTCTCTTTTATTTCTATTTAAAGCATGACGCTGTGTTTGATATGCCAATATTTCGAACTAGTCTCCAGTGCGTACAACTACGTGCGCTAATGTGGCGTCTCGTTCACATATATAAGGCCATTTTTTAACTTAAGGCTGGAACGTTGTACTATATCTTCACTTAAACAACAGAGTACGCGTAGCTTGCTGTCCGTTGCCTACAACGCGCTTACAAAGGCCATCTATAGAAGAATGAAAACACCATAAAATTCGATCAACCAAAGGACCACACAGAATTTCATAAAGGCTACTTGACAAAGCATCACATTCAGAATAAGAATAGAGTTATAGAGAAATAATGCAAAAAAACAGCGTGCAAACGGACGGGATGAAGATAGGTGACACGGCACAAGCGCTGAGAAATTCGTAGAATATTTTAATAAACCCCTCATTTAGCTTTAATAAATTTCGAGCAAGCATTGGATTCAATCAAAACCTCCGCATTCATGCAAGCATTGCGCAATTTGGATGTAAACGATCCATTGATAAAGTGCCTAGATATCAACAGTGGGTCCACAGCCACCTAGCCATCTGTCAAGAAATCAATATCCGAATAAATACGGGTGTAATGAAGAGATATCGCTCCGAGGATGCCGTAATCACAGCGTGCTTAAACATGGTTTTCAGAGCCCTGTATTTGGAGCAGCAGTTAGAAATAAGAGTCAATGTAGAATACTTTAAATGTCTGCGATTCACTGATGACGCTACCTCGCGGAGTAACTGAGGGTATGAACAAACTCAGGAGACAAAGTAGAAGGCAGTGCCCCCAAAAACACACAGAAAAGTAATGTTCAGGAGTCTCGGAAGCGAACAACGGTTTCAAATAGGTAGCAAGGCAGTTGGCCGCAAGGGAGAACGTCAACTTGGGAGTGTGGCAGCTTGGGCTAGTTGGTATGGCATGACGATAGTTATAGCACGAGAACAAAACGACGACACGGAGACGAGAAGGACACGAAAGACACGAGCGCTCGTGTCTTTCGTGTCCTTCTCGCCTCCGTGTCGTCGTTTTGTTCTCGCGCTGTAAATATCGTACTTGGGGACAGCAGATCTAAACCATAAGACTGAACTAAATAAGAACGTAATTGAAAGCATACGGCAGGTTATATTACACCAAGAATGACAGTTTACCGGTATCCATTGACAGAGAAGCATATATCAGTTGCATTTTACCGTTATACTTACCTACTGGACAGGAACCTGGAAGCATGCTTAAGAGGTTCAACTTTAAATAACGCACAATAATTAAACTATATATGTAAGCTTAGTTACATTACTGCAATTCACTCGTCTGCCACAAGCGTTCCCCATACGAGAAAATTCGCTTGCAATTATCTCAACCACTCTAGCTTATTTTGAGCCCCACCGCAGTTGTCCAGTGATATATATGAAGCTTGACGACTGACCCGCAGGTCGTGGGATCGAATCTCGGCTGCAGCGGCTGCATTTTCGATGGAGGTGAGTTTGAGGCCCGGGTGCTTAGATTTAAGTGCTCGTTCAAGAATTCCAAGCGGTAGAAATTTCCGCACCCCTCTACTACGGCGTCTCTCTTAATCATATCGTGGTTTTGGGACGTTAAACACCATATATTATCACCATTAGCTCATTTGCAAAATATATTCAGTCATTCTTGCTACGGGATACATATGTGTAAGATTCAAGCACTAAACCACTTTTTTTCTGGTAGGTATGCATAACTCGTTCACACAAGCGGAACAAACCATGACGGTTCTGCGGATCTGAGCTGATATTGAAGTTTCACCCCAAGTACAGCACGAAAATTGTATCCTGCTACTGCAGATACTCATAAAAACTATCCCTAGATTCAAGTACGAGTTTTTCAATGCATCACATAAGTGGTAGAGAGCCTGTGAGAAGCTTCCCGCCATTTTTTCTGAACATGAGCCAACGGCATTGAATATTCCGAACAGACGACAATCGAAATACGTTGTTTCAGTATAACTGCGTCAATTACTTGTGTTACTATACGCGATAGGAATAAATTACTCTCGCGTGTAAAATCACCAGCACATAACCACAACAAACAACTATAGCGAACGTATGAAGGATAGATTGATTCATATGTGAGGTTTAACGTCCCAAAACCACACTATGAATATGAGAGACGCCGTAGTGGAGGGCTCCGAAAATTTCGACCACCTGGGGTTCTTTAACCTGTACCCAAATCTGAGCACACGGGCCTACAACATTTCCGCCTCCATCGCAAATGCAGCCGCCGCAGCCGGGATTCGAACCCGCGACCTGCGGGTCAGCAGCCGAGTACCTTAGCCACTAGACCACCACGGCGGGGCGAATGTATGAAGGAAGAGAATTTCGAAGGCTCGTCTCTTTTTGCTTGACAGAACCTTCAAGTGGCCTTGCAACACTTTAAGTAATTTTCGAACGACTTGACTTCATTTGAAAAGTTAGTTGCCTCACCAATGCTTTGCAGCAAAAATGTTAGAATCCGTCGTCTACAAGTGGAGTTACATGGATTTGCTGCACGCTTCAAGCACTTCCTCTCTCGATTCATTCTAGTTAGCGCAATGAAAGCTACGCAGGGAGGGCTGACAAGGGCGCAAGAAGATTCGTTCCATCGTTAGCGCGTGTCACAATTTCAAGCACTTTCCTTTCATTTTTTCTTCGAACTCGCGGCTTACTTTTAGTGTGGTCGCGAGCGCACGTGAGCCCAGGGTTAAAGGCCGTGGATTGGGGTGTTTGATACTACAGTAATTTGGGCACGTGACATCATTTGTAAAGAAGGAGCAATTTCTCGCTGACTTCAAGAATTTCGAGGCCACGTGCCACTCTGTAATGTTTGGCTGGCGTGTTATCAGAAGCGTCGACTACTGATAGGCAAACTCTTATGACTACGCTGAAGAAGCGTTGGAGGACCACTTTAACAAACATCAGCAGATAATGCAGGCAATGAAGGTATAGGGGACGTTAATTGTACAGTTTTAAGCGCAGTGTAGTAATTGTGATAAAGGCGTGAAGAAAGTGGACGAAAACGTCACTTGCCCCCGGCAGAGACCGAACATGCAATTCCGCGCCTGATGCTAACCTGGGAGTGTTAGCCAGCGGCACTCGTAAACATGACGGCGAGTGTGGAACACTCCCTTTTTTTTTTCACGTAGATTGTGATTGTTTTGCGAGCGAACAGCTGACCAACAGGCCCTCGCGTACTACCTGAAAGGTGATATCAAGTCTGCCGGAACGAGACCCTCGCTATCAGCGAATGAAGGAATGTAATTATAAAGACTCGTTTCCTTCTACTAGAAACCACCTTAATTGAAATCAGCAGATAATGAAGTTAGCGAATGCATAGGAAACGTTAGTTACACTGTTTTGATGTATAGCACATGTTTCATGTTGTATGCAGCTGGATTGCACTGCAATAGCCCCAACGTCCTTTAGCCAGCATTTATATTAAGCTGACTCACATGGTAAACATCACGTACGTGGTGAGAAGGGGCTCGATTCCACACTTACGCTTTCGTCGTCTCAAAGTAGGCCTTCAACGTTGCCACGAAAGGGTGATGCGAAACTGCTTGCCATGCTGAACGTTCAGCTTCCACGCGTCGCGCTTCCTAGACAAGGCAACAAGATATAATTTATAAACGGACGATGTTCACCACGAAAAGAGTGCATCAAAAGTCATCAACACTGGTTCATCAACACTGGGTCACACGCTGGCGTACTGGTGCAAATTCGTCAGGAATGCTCACTCACCTTAGCCAGTTCGTTGTGATGCTTCTCGATACACTTGAGCGCAGCAAGCTCCCTCGTGACCCTGTGACGAACGAGGTAGACGACGCCGAAGCTGCCTCTACCAAGGACGTGAAGCTGCTGCAGGAAGCTCAGGTGCCAGTCAACAGTCTCACCCGGGTTTATCCAAAACGTCCCCTCGTCCACCTCACCCAAGGAAATCTGTTGTGCGCACGTCAGAAAGAAAAATGGGGCAAAATCAAATTGTGTTGTACAATTTTTCGAACGAGTCCACTCATGTGCGTAACTACATATTTGTAGAGTCATTTAATGCCTTTTAAGTATTGAAGGACTCAGCAGTAGAAGTATCGAGAAGGGAATGAGTATTGAAAGTGTATTAAAAGAATCGCAGGACGTGCTAGGAACACCTACAAGACGCAACACAAAACGAATGACGTGTTTTCAAGGTGAAAGCCTCAAACGCATACTCAAACGTGAAAATGGACCGGTGTACCCCGACAACGGCATGAGTGCTAGTGAAGCAAAAAACTATCATCACGTGATGACGTCACATGCCGATGATCCTCAAAGTTTGTCGAGTCATCATGACGTGGTAGGCTTATGCTACAAGAGCGAAGGAAAAGCTTGGCCCAGTAGCTGCATGTTAATCTGCAAATGTCGTCGAAAGATGGTAGTCTTACGTGTGGAGAGAGTGAACAAAACATATATTTGATGTTCTGCGCGAAAAAATCGGCGAATGGCATTCTGGAGGCGCTGCGTTAGAGTGCCTCGAGCGTGCAGAGGAGGCGAACAAACACATCAAGTCACGTCACACGTGAGACATGAGCGCCATCTGGCAGTTTTCTTGGAAAACGAAGCGCGTGTCTCTGAGACGGGTGTGCGCGCCTGTTTCAGAGGTGATAAGGTGTAGAACGCAAGGCGACGGGTAGGTGCCACCACCGTTTCGTCTTAGCAAAGCGTTGGAAACACTCACTTTTTCGTGCAAGCGTTGCATGGTCAGCGCAGCGTCATAAGCGTTACGGTCCTTAAAATTACTTATGTATACCTTTTCTAGTAAAAGACGCGCATACATAATATATACGTGTTCTTACGGTGCCCCAGTCAAGCGTAATCACTGCTTTTTAATTGGCAATTGCACAAGTATGAACGCCGAATCTTGAGCAACATTGGTGGGCGCTGCGGATGGGGTCTACCTTTTCAAGTACCCGATGCCATTAAAAGTGGACAAACAGACAAATGTACATACAGACAAACAGACAGACCAAAATTTTTGCGACGAAGGTCCCTAAGGAAGACTATCGTCTTTGAAAACGGCTGAACCACAATCGACGCCAGCGAGGAACGCGAGACTTGGCTTCACGTGCAACAGCCAAGCGCCGTCTTTATTTTCTTCATCTGCGGCCGCTCGCTCACCGGTTTGTGCACCGGCCAAACGAGAGAGAGAGAGAGAGAGAGAGCGTCAACCTGATGTCACAGAATAAGACGTCACTCTGGTAACGTCATCACATGAAATCATAGCTTGGTCAGAGGTGCGCCGATCACGGAGGCAGTACATGCAGAAAGCTTACTACGCCTCCAATCCCGGGGGCATTGCCAAACCAGAATAGAAAGTTTTCGGAGGGGCGCGTGCGTAGTTACGTCGACAAGAAGATGATGGCTTTCGCCTTGTGGGTTTTGTTGCGCCACGAACGAACGCGCCACTTGATGCACAGCACCCCTGTTCCACATGTTGCCCAACTGATCCGCAAAAGATAAGCCGGCCGCGTCGGAGTTGCGACGTGCCTGCGTACCGCCTTGATTCTAAAGCTGTCCAGCAGCCCCGACAGGATCCCACAGAGCTCGTTGTGCGAGCCGCCCGAAGACTTCTTGGTGACGGTGTCGGGCACGCCACGAGGCTGCCGCTTCTTGGGCGCAGCGGGACTAGCGGCAGGAGACTGCAGCTGCACGTGAGACGGGCCAGCGGACGACACCTCGTCCTCTCGCCGCTTCACCTTCGCGCCAGGCTCTTTGGTCAACATCCATTTCAACGAGTTCTGCGAACAACGGCGCAACTGGTTAGGCTTGCGCGACCAGGGTGGTTCCCTATGCTAGAGCTATGCTCAATCGCTCGGAATTTTAGGGCCGCTTCTGTTTAACAGGATCGGGATTTCTTTAGCAGGGACTGATGAAGTGAATGTCGCCATATTTAACGTCTGTACGTAGTCTGTTCACGAGCCAGGCGCGAAGCGTGAGCCTTTTCTCTTTCCTTCATTGTCGCGGCGCAAAAGTTCTTGATCCCCACTTTGCTCGTGGAACTCTTCTTTGGAGAGCTTCACGCACCGCCGTTCTTCGCGACGCAAGAACGCCGCTATTCCTGGTGCTTGTGGCGGCAGGTGCTGGCGTGGGAAGCGGCTGAAACACCGTGCTCGTCACCCCGACGGCGTCGCCGTAGCCGGCTACAGCTATAACAGAGGTGCCAACAACACGGTGCCTCCAAAGAAGCAGCACCTCCGAGACAAAAGGGCCCGAGCCCTAACCTATGGCCACTCCAACGGACAGTTGCTGTCGACTGACGCCACGAAGCGCGCAGAGACGCCTCGTTTTCTGCGAGGACGCGGACAATACTCAGAAAGCATGAGCTTGTAGATCGTAAAGCCCAGGTGCTGAAATAGCAGGATGCCGTCATTTCGCATGTCAAGATATGGTGAAAAGTGAGACCTCTTTTGCAATGTTATCACGCAGAACACCGAATTTGCGAAATACTATAATCCTCCCTTATCACTTGCGGGCCTAATTTATTACCATGAGCAAGCCATATATAGTGTCGTCCTAGATGTATCGAACATGTTCGCTGTCCAACTCCTTTCGCTCATTATTACTCCGAGGGAGTCACCGTTGAAGATTCGCTATGTCGACACCCCTTCTGCTAATCACAATTCAAAGCCGGACCTGTTAATCTGTTGAGTAACACTAGCCTTTCCACTACTTTTTCAGTGCCCGGGTAAAGGAGCGGATTTCAATGGCAAGCGGCCGTCTGTGCTAGTGCGGCATTTCGCCGCTAGGTGCCGCAACTGGAGTAGAGCTGACGCCGCGTCACCTCTCGTGCAAACGAATGCCGCGGATGCATTCGAAGCGGCTATACGGTTCGGTTTTCGGCTGTAATCGCATTGTTTAAGGTGTATTGGACACTTGGAAACGAGAATTGTGAAGCACGTGTTCTGGGCACTCAGCTCATTTCGAAGGCCTGAGTCGTTCACGACTACTTGATCGATGAGCTCGCGCGTCGTCTGCTATAACAAAGCCGATACCAGATAGCTCATTCAAGTAATCCGCAGAAGATCGTTTTGTCACCGTGGCGTTCGCTAGACTGATAGTTGCTTTTTGACTCACTGAAAGTCGATTTTTGAGAGAAGCCTTTGCCAGGAGCTAATATTAAAGCTTGGGTGCCTAATGTTCACTGATGCTTGCTACTCTCTAGTAGCGTAGCATATTATGCGCAAGCCTGGACTTCATGCTCTAAATAGCACAAAATTTCACTAGACTGCTTTCAGAGATATAGGTCATCATCCATTGCCTTCGCAAAGCCACCGTGTGTGGCCACCGAGAAAAATCAAGTGTCAGAAAATAAGGAACTACGTCAAGTGATTTCATCACTTGAGAGAATAAACAAAGAAATCATCGTGAAATACACAAGAAAAGCTCCATATGCGGCGCGATTTCTGCAGTTGTTGCATGTGTTTTGAACAGGCGCTGTTAAAGTCTGAAGTCGACTCTCTACTTCAGCCAAGGTGACAGGCATAAAAATTGCGGCCTGTGGTCAGTTGCTTGAACTTGTCTGTGTATTCGTGGATGGGTTGTTGTAGCCCTAATATCCAGCTGCTGAGCTATGTTTCTCTCTGCTTCCCTCTGGCATCTTAATTCGGTAGCGAGCAGAGTAGACGCCAAGTGGCTGTGTGGTGCCCATGGGCTACCATTCAGCTTGAGGGCGTGATGTTAGCGTTGCCCACGACAGCGATCGTGAGGCAGCGTTGATACCGATAGACTCATTTGTTGACTGAAAAATAGATGAGACGCTGGTAACACACACGCTTACATTGTGCGCTTACCTCGAGACCGTGGGTGTCTGTCCACTATTTCGAAGTCGATACCAGACAACAAGCTCATTGTAAAAAAAGAGTTTGCAAGACGGGGTACAAAGGACAATAAAGGCATACAACGGAAACTAGTTTCAGGATCCTGTCTTCTCGCTGCTTTTTCACAACAGACGTACAAACATGCCAAATGTACACAATCTCTTAATACACATAACCCTAATGTTCTTGCGTGTGCGTGTGTGAGATCGATACCTGCAAGAGACGGAGAGAAATACTACTTACATCACTCTTTTCCGTAAGGTCGAACTCAATCGGATAAGCTGAAACTTCAGACATGCTTCAATGTCGAGTCTTGACGGAAGGGATGACACGAGAAAAAAGTGAGCAGCGAACGGAAACTTCGTTCTCTTTTACAGTGTTTTCTTGTCAAGTTTGAGATTTCTAGCATTCGACTGAACGTGACCAACTTCTTTCTCTTTTACAGCTGTATTCTTGGTAAGTCCGAGATTTCTAGCATTTGACTGAACTTGACAGAACGAGAACGCCGCTGGTGTATGTAGCAAAAAAAGTCTTTGAAAAAGGGGTAAGTGGCCTTCCCCGCAAAACACAACTGCCGAATGAGTAGTGTCCAGCTAATTTTTAAAACAGCAGTGTATTGGGGGCAGTGACATTGTTCCTAATATTGTTAAATACATTTTTGGCGTTGTCTTTGGCGCTGAATCAACCTTCCTCCACCTGCGAAAGAAATTTCTACGTCTCTGCTTACAGCACTGAATATTACACAAGGGCAACGCAGACATCGAGGGAATGAGTGTGTGTATTTGGACAACGGAGTCGGCTAAAGGAGGATGGCTCCATTGGGAAACTAACGGTAAAAACGGTTATACCTCCACAAAACTTACCCTTAGTTTATCTTTCTTCGCCAAACGAAGCAGAAAAAAACATCCCCTTACGAACTGACTAGCGAACAAATGGTGCGTGTGACGAACTGCCAACGCTTCTGTCTCTTCTATGTATGTTCGATAAGTAGTGAAAGTAAGCACCGATACCCAAAGAGGTACCGTGCGAGATTCACTCAGGATAGCTTGGTGAATTGACAGTCGTCCGTTTGTGGCCCCACTTGCTGGGGCCCCCGCAGTGGTCGGTTTGCTGGGGCCATTTATCGTGTGAAGACTCCGCATATGTCAGCAATCACAAGTGCCCCGGCACACTACTAACTTCTTTGACGAAGAGTGTCTCCAGCGCATATTGATTGATATGTGGGGTTTAACGTCTCAAAACCACCATATGATTATGAGAGACGCCGTAGTGGAGGGCTCCGGAAATTTCGACCACCTGGGGTTCTTTAACGTGCACCCAAATCTGAGCACACGGGCCTACAACATTTCCGCCTCCATCGGAAATGCAGCCACCGCAGCCGGGAATCAAGCCCGTGACCTGCGGGTCAGCAGCCGAGTACCTTAGCCACTAGACCACCGTGGCGGGGCCTCCAGCGCATATGGACAAACTGAACAAACTAGTACTGCGCCGGACTCACTCAGACCCAGATCACGTAGTGAATGAGTCTAGCTCAGTAATGTTTTGGCGAGTTTGAGGCCGAGTGAGTGTGGTCGAGAAAACTTCTAGTGAGTCTGAATCCCAGTGAGACCTAAGTGTAAATTATGTTTTTGAGTGAGTCTGAGTAAGCTCTGCTTCTTTTGCCAACCTGTGGTATGAACGACTTGGCTGCTGCGAGTCGTGTCGGATACGTACCGTGTCCTCGGCCTCTCCGTTCCTCCCAGTGACCGCGGGTTCGTCGGCCGGAGACGCGAGCTGCTGCGCGGGAGTGGCGGGTGAGATGCCAGAAGGACCAGGGATAGCTGGCGGGGAATTTCTGCGCATCGGAGAGCCCGCCATGGAGCCACCACCATGCGCGCCACCGGCAGTGACCGCCGTCGTCTGCTTAGGAGTGCGTGCGCCATCAGCTTCGCTGGTGCCTCGGAAAGGCGTCGTAGCTCTTCCAGCTGGCCGAGCAGCCAGCGGCGACTGCGGCGGCCGCCCGGCGGCGTTTCGTGGCGTCCTCGGTGCCGACTCGTGGCTTGTCGTAGCGGCACCCAGCGCGGGAGCCTGCGTCTAGCCGCCGCTCTCAGATGTCACACACCTCGCTACGCGTTCTAGCTTAGTGTTCCATTGGAGACGCATAATTGATAAATTCATTAGTGAGCGCCACGGCAGTGAGTCATTCGTCACCAAAGCACAGGTCCATCTTCGTCACATAGTGGCAACCACTTGTAACTGCCGACTGACAGAAACACTCTATGAAAAAAAAACGAGCAGTCGGGGAGTATTTCTGCCACACAACTATATAATTATCACCTGGATTGCTCCCTTTTCCCTTCTTCAAAATCTGGCCACTTTCTCACTGGCGATTTTTCGCAGCGACCCACAGACGCTGCCATGTTTGATCTCGTAACCGTAACTGGCCTTCCCCAGCAATTTGTCCTGGCCAAAACATGGGCCAGTGAAGCAACCGTGGCCGTAAGCGTCAGTAGCTGTGGTTAGAAACCATGGCATGGCAGCACCCACGCAGACGTCACCGCCAGCTTCGACCCGATCCCGCCGTTCCTAGTCGCCCACTGTCTTCACAGCGATATGAATAAATGGTGAAATCAGTTATCGCTTCAAATCGCTTCACGCTGTGAACAACAATTCAGGTATATTCTGTCCTTATTATTGATATTAGCCGTGTTTATTTGGTCATGCCTGCTAAACCTTGTCATCAAGAATTAGAAAATGCATCTTGAAAACAGTGCACGATGCAGATTTATAGATTGCTTTCGAAGCTCTAGGACTTAAATATAACCAAACAAATGCGTACGTGGCGATCTTAAGGGCCACACAGCGCAAGACGATGAGTCCGACAACGTCATAAGTTTCAAATGGAAGGAAACTGCTTTAACAGGTGATCCCATGTTGGCTTTTCTGGCGCTGCCATCTGCGCACATTTATTCGCGTGCGTGCAGACGCTATGGGTACTCCGAGCAGACGACGCGACGTGGATGGCTACATTAAGCAGCGTTGCCAAAGACCACCGCATGGAGACGACCGTGGTAGGGGACAGCCGCGGAGCGGTGGTGGCGCCATCTAGTTTTGATTGAACAGGTAAAGTCGCTGGTGAGGATATAAGGTAACAATGGACCTGCTGACAGATTCTACAGAGAGCTTCTACGGACAGCTGTACAGAATCCAGAACAACTAGAACGATATCGTGAGAAACAATAATATTCCAGAGGAATTCGACATCTTACCAGTAACGACAGTGGAAGTAAAGAAAGCCCTAGAAAGGATGCAAAGAGTCAAAGCCGCTGGTGAGGATAAGGCAACAACAGACCTGCTGAAAGATGGCGGAGAAATTTTGTTAGAAAAGCTGGCCACCTTATATACGAAGTGTTTCTTGACGGGAAAGATACCAGAATTCTGGGAAAATGCCAACATCATCTTAATACATAAGAAAGAAGACGTCAAGAACTTAAAAAAGTTACAGGCCGATCAGTTCACCATCCTTTTTTTACAAACTATTTACAAAAATAATAGCTAATAAAGTCAAGGTGACATTAGTGTGCAATCAACCAAATGACAAAGCATGATTTCGTACAGGCTACTCTAGAATAGATCACATGCATACTATCGATCAGGTAATAGAAAATTGTGCGGAATACAACCAACTATAGTACATAGCTTTCAAAGATTACGCGAAGGCATTAGACTCAAACGAGACATGCAGGCACCACAGAATCAGGGCATCGATGAACCCTACATAAATGTACTGCAAGAAATAACACTGGATCTATAGCTACCATATTTCACCATAGAAAAAGCGACACAGTCCCAATAAAGAAGGGTGTATAGGGCAGGAAAAAAACAATCTCTCCAATGCTAGTCCCCGCGTCTTACAGGAACTTTTCAGTGTCCTAGATTGGGAAGAGTTAAGAATAATAGTTACTAGAGATTACCCTAGTATCTTGCGATTCTATGATGGCATTGCCTTGATGAGTAACTCAAGGGACGAATAACAGCTCATGATTACTGAACAGGACACGGAGTAGATCTGAAAATTAATATACATAGTAATTGATAGGCATAGTAATTAATATGCAAAGTAATGTTTAACAGTCTAGGCAGAAAACATCACTTTGCGATAGGTGGAGAGACGCGGGAGGTTGTCAAGGAATATGTCTACTTAGGACAGGTAGTAACCGCTGAGCCGAACCACGAGAAGAAATAACTAGAATATACATTGGTTGGATCACATTCGACATGCATTCTCAAATTATGAATGGTAATTTGTATTTAGCCCTCAAGGGGAAGGTATATAACAGCTGCATCTTGGCGGTACTTATCCACGGAGCAGAAACCTGGAGGCCTACAAGGAGGGTTCAGCTTAAATTGAGGACAACGCAGCAAGCGATGGGGAAAAATGTTAAGCGTAACCTTAAGAGATAAGATGAGAGTAGAGTGGGTCAGGGAACAAGCCGGGGTTAAGGATATCTCATATTTGAAATCAAGAAGAAGAAATGGGCATGGGTCGAGCACGCATGCAGCACGTAGGCAAAAAAACCACTGGTCATTAAGGGTAACTGACTGGATTTCCAGAGAAGGCAAACGCACGAATGGGAGGCAGAAAGTTAGGTGGGCGGATGAGATTAAGTTCGCAGGCATAACGTGGCCGCAGAAAGTTCAAGACAGGGTTGTTTGGTGGATAATGGGAGAGGCCTTTGCCTTGCAGGGGGCGTAGTCAGGCTAATGATGATGAAAGAAATATGCTGCGGAAAATCGTCTATTAAGAATGTTGTGTCACGCTGATAGTGCGCCTGCCATTGGTGACTGAAAAGTGGCGGGACCATGGTGATAACGCAAGCTGAGTACGCGACGGGGACAACAATTGTACATGCGTGGCCGAAATACCCCCAATTATCGTTTTTTTCTTCCGCGAGTTTAAAGTTCGTTATTCGTGATAGCTTGCGTCAGGGCATGTGATAAAGATGAACAAAACAGAACACAAGAAAAGACAAACATTAAGTTTGTCTACTCTTGTGTTTTTTGTCAGCACTGCTTATGTGCTACCATAAAGTACCCAATTAGGTTGTTTGAACCTTTACTCTTTCCATACTGTTGGTGGAATGATTTATAAATACGACAACCACTGTATACAAATAAGAAAACAGTGCATTTAAGAATTACGCACTTATTTCACCCTTTTTATGAGTACAAAAATTATGACGTGCCGGCAGAACCAAGAACAAATGAACTCGATCTAGGCGCTGCTGCCACGAGTATTAAAACAATCTATGTCTTGAAACTATGATCTCCGTCTTTAAGCTATATTCTAAAACGCTTACGCGTAGCAAACTTTGTGGTTCGATTTTGTGCCTCCATAAAATGGCGCGTTCCTCGAGTTTGCCCTCCCCGAACTTTGACGTTGCTTCATTTAAGCAGGTCAAGGCTACTTTTTAACGCGCAGGAAAAAAAATATTCACAATTGATTTCAACAATCATGCGACAATTCCTCATGCGCTAAATATAGATTTTCTTCGTAATTTGGTGCGGCAGCATTCGTTTTCGTAATTTCTCCAAGGCTTCCTTCCCGTTGCAGCTTTCTCGGGTTCTTCGCAAACACACAAAAACGAACGAGTAGTTTGTGCATGTTCGCAGCGCGAATAGCCGGACGCTTTATCTACGTGGTCCAGAGGATATTTACGCAGGATCATGCTTAAATACGCGATTTATATTCTACTTAGTAAGCCCGGAAAGCTCACTGTAAAAAAAAAAAGAAAAGAAATCAGAATGAGAGAAAAAGAAAGCTAACGGCTCAAGGCACTCGTAGGATTGGCTTCAATCCAGCATAATCAAAAGCAATTTGCCAGCTACGGCAAGGAACGGCTGACCATTTAGTGAACACCAAGAGCTATAACATCACTAACGTCCATAACTACCAAATTGGACGGCGCGTGGAGCGGTACAGCGGCACTTTAATTCAAACAGCTCCCTTGTGACGGAAAATTGTGGTTTCGGCCGAGCTTCTGCACTTGAAGAGCAACGAAATTGACGCAATATATTAGAGGTGTGTGTATACTGCAACATGGAAAGCAATTTTTTAACGTAAAATTGTAATATGCCGCTGCCCCACGAAGACTTTGCTGACGTGTCTACGCCAAATAAATACTCCAATAAAATATACACGACAAGGGAAAAAAAACTGAATAAAAAGTTTTGTTGATTCGGATGACCCGAATTGAAACACGGCCCCCTCTGTTAGCGACGATAAGTTCCGGTCGCTCCACAAACTGCGCTACCACCAATGATGCAAGAGGCTTCTCAAGTGCGCCTTGTATTTCTCACATCTACCTTTCACAGTGGCATTGGTTGGTGAGGGGCGGTGTCGAAGTCTGGGGTCGGTCACTTACTGTATCCCGACAGAGGCCTCCGACATTCGCTCCGGCAGCGCAGTGGCACACTCCCGGAACTTGTCTCGGAGGACACATCATGACATTACAAGCACCGACAGTAACTAACAATAGACATTGTGCAAGCTCTAATACATCGATTTATAAAAAGCGATCAACTATACTGTTGTGAAGACACAGTTCGCTTCCGTGTTATAATGATGGCGGACGGATCAGCCATCTTTTTTTCTTCCGAAACTCTTTCATTTTAATCGCGTTAAAGACTGCTACTGAGCATTTTTTGCACTTTTTCTTCCTTCATGAACCTTACTAACATGATGACGAAGGTGTGTTGCGCCACATACGCCACACACTATAGTTTAAGCACATCTTCTTTTAGATCCTTGAATACGAAGCCTTGAACGTTCAAATGATGCCCAGGTTCGAAGCCCAATTGTTTTTAGGAAATATTAA